GGTGAAAGTAGAAGACCTGAACATGATATCCTGAAATTTTTATGAAAATTGATTCATTTTTGAAAAAGTTATGACACTTTGAAAAATGACAATTTTTTAGAAATTTTAAGTGTCCCTAATAATTTGGAAGGGTACTGTATATATATATATTTATACACTTTTGTATGGATATATTTTACTCTGGCTATATTGGTAATATTAGAAAGCACTCCTTTTTGTGGATATAATCGTGTGAGCTGATGAAGAAATTATATCTTCTCTTTATTTTGTTTTCCGGATTTTGAATAAAAATTTTTTCATAATATTTAAATATCTTTAAAAATAATTTTATATTAAAGATTTTTCTTCTTCTCTTGTCATTAATCTTTATTATTTTCAATATTTTCTCAATATTTTAAGTTATTTTAACTTAAACTGATACTGAATAGTAAACCATTACTGCTTCATCTTGCAGATTATTGATTACAACAAGATTACGTTTCAACTTATCTTCATAGCGACACATTGTTAAAATACCCGTATTTAAATTATAAAGTTGCAACGACGTTGGTGATTAGAACATAAAGCAATATCAGTAAGACGTCATAGAACTTAAATACCAGAGCCACTATATACCTGAGAGAGTCATGAGTCAAGTAACTTAATCTAATCAAGATATAATGATAGTTAATCTAATCTAATGATGATAAGCCAGCAACGCTTATCTCGATTCATTCAGTTATACGAAACTATATTTTGATATGAATTAAATTTATATTTATTTACACTCTGGTAATTTTCTCACAAAATTTATACATGAGCAATTTTATTTAATAATTTTCTTATTTTTATGAGAAACTTATTTAAAAACTAGAATTTAAAAACTTCATGATTTAATAGAATTTAAAATCTTCACGATTGTGTAATTGTTTATAAAAATGAAGATACGAGAAATAGTTAAAATATATCTAAATGTTGTACAATTATAAACGATATAATAAATAGATGAATAGTATTTGAGAATTTACAGAGCTTCAATAGTTATTCAGGGACCCTTCTGAATAACTATTGATCTAATGCTCGGATCCTTACTTTCCAGGACTCAAAGCCAATGGTTCCAGGAGGTGACCTCAAATATGCTAATTAATTTGCGCAGACGACATTTTAAGTTACGAAATCAGACTCAAAATCATACTCTCTCTGAATAAACAGAGCCTTTTTTCCGGCGGATTCGGATTTCTAAACCGCAAAATGTACATTAAATCGTTTATCACATTTTAATGATAGGTATTATTCTTTGACCACAGATTTTTATTTTGTCATGTAAAAGTACATCCTTTAAAATGATGTTAAGAAATGTACACTCTATGATTCACAAATATTTGAACTGTCATTAAATAAAATGATACAAAGTAATAAATATTTACAAAAAGTTATTTTTTGCCTGGAATTAACTTTATATAAACGAATTTTACAACTATGAGCAAAAATTTTTCAATACGCTTAAAAAGTTCGCAAGATGTAACGAAGTACGCAAAAAGTAAAACTAACATTATGCGGTCCAAAGTTTGAACTGCTCTCCTGGCCAAACTATTAGGACGATATTTCCCAGATTACTGCTACCCCATATATTTTGGGAGTCAGAAATCCGAATCCGTCAAAAAAAAGTTACGTTTATTCAGAAAAACTACGTTTTTGTGTCTGATTTCGTAACTTAAAATATCATCTTCTCTAAATTAGCATATTTGAGAGAACCTCTTCGAACCATTAATATTGAGTCCTAGAACATGAAGATCCCATCATTAGATCAAAAATTATTCAAACGAGTCCATTTTTTATTTTGTGCTCTGAACGTTTAAATGTAGTGGGAATGATTTCATGTTTGCCAACATTTCACGCTTTTAGAATTTCTTCCACATAAGTTAGGGGTGCTCAACCTGCGGCCCGCCAACCCTCAATGTGCGGCCCGCGGCCGCAATCTGAACAAAATGAAAAAAAATATTAAATATTTGTTTTTGAAAAATAATAAAAAAATTCGGTAATTTAAATTTACACTTTTAAGTTTTTGACGCACCCAATCTCAATCAATGTAGTTTTTCGATGGTTAACGCTACGGATT